GCAACTGACAGTAGAGTTCAAAACATCCAAAGCTACATCTGATTTCAGCCCGTTCTCTTGAACACTCTTTGATTTGAGTTTGTATGCGAGAGCCTTTTTCATATTCCTCATTTGTTGCCATGAAGCTCTTGTGATGTGTAATATTATGGTCCCTAACTGGTCTCCAGAGAGACACAGTGCAGACATAGAAAGAGAGACTGTCTGACTGTCAGCTGTCTGAGGTCACAGTTAGCCTCCACCAGCAGGCAGTGACCCAGGGTGAGGCTGCAATGAAGCCTTCTCTCTGAGAACAGCTGGGGATCAGGCAGGAGACAAAAACAGATACGACAACCCTGCTGTAATGCATTAGAAGCCAAGGGCATTATGTAATATCCGCTGGTGCTTCAGCTATAGCCCCTGAGTGAGATGGATTGGACATTGGCCTGTCTCCAGTGTTGTAGCCAAGTCACTAAACCTCGAATCCCAATCAAGTCTCGAGTTCGAGTCAAATCCAAGTCACCAAAGAATAATCTGAGTTGAGTCTAAGTCGATTCCAATTTCACATCGAGTCAAGTTCTCATTACCTGAGTTAGAGTCATCAAGGTCTACGTTATACACAACTGACACACGTCTCACCATTTTATTTTCCAAACTTTCTAACAGTTCACTGCATCACCATATCGCTTGGCAATTTAATACATAAAAGTCATTTATGGTAAGGCAGAGTGTACACTTGCAGACAGCATGGTGTGGGTGAACAGGTTTTAATATCAATAACTTAGGCCAAATATTATGGCCTATTACAAAAAAAAGTCTGCATCCTCATCTACAACTTTCAAGTCCAAATGCAGTCAATGTTCGCATCTGAGTCAGCAGTAAAATTTAGATAGTTAAAGCAGTTATTCAAAATCAGCAGGAGTTTATAGATAATGGATGGACCACCAAAGTGTGAGGGACGCAGGGCTTTAATTACTTTCCTTACAAAGAGAAAGAAGTCTCTGAGGGATTCATAGCGTTTCCTCTTAGTGTTTCTTATAATCAGTGGCAGGACATTTCCACATCGAAAGTATACAGGCATATTTATTCAGAGAGAGGATCTGTGTAAATGCTCATAGTGTGTTTGAAGCATCAGCCTGACAGTTCTGGGTCAGAAAGTGTTGTTTAAGCCTTAAATGTATCTCACCTTCCCTCATACTATCACTGTGGAAGGTGATGCTTATCCTAACAAAGCACATGACAATTTATTCATTTATTTGCAAAGTTAAAAGTCACTGAGTTCTGCATAACTGCTTCTCTGTGGACCCTGAATTTGTGTCAGCAACTTTACTGCACAACCTCAAGATATGCTCCAACCTTTTCCTATTTTTCAGAGTAAGTTACCCAAACCAGCAAATAAATACAAAAAAAGTTAAAACGGACTCAACGAAACAAAAGTAAAACATTTCCATAAAGGAATTATCAATATTAAAACTTCTGGGCTTTCAATAAAAATACATACGCTGGGCATTTGCACATACGTACAGTACAGAGTCAATATTAATGTCAAATTTAAAGTTAAGTGTCATCAATTATTGTCCCCAGGTACTCATACTGCTGCACCATCTCCACAGCATGGCCATGAATGCATGTGTGTGAAACATTTATA